AAAAATTGATGTGTTTACATTGTCTTGTTGTTTATTTTTTCTTTGAGAATGTACTGCCATTTGGTTTTGAAATGGAATATGAATGTTTGATGAATGGGATATTTGTTTTACGCATGTTTTAATGTTTTATCATGTCGGAAAAGATGGGTAAATATTTATCAAGTTTAAAATTTCCGACATAATATTAGCGTAATAACTTATACGAATTACTGACGTCGGCGTAATCTTACAGAACTTCCAACATCAAACTTGCCATTATCGGAAACAATTTATAGTTTATCCAACATCTGCATGCTCCTTAATCGAACAAATCATAAAAGATTTGCTATTTACTGGAAATATTTATTATAAGCTCACCAAATCATCGTTGGGATTCGGTATCGTAGAGCATAAGCCTCCCCAAACCATCTTCAGGGCTTGGAAGTATCCGGCTTTGCTGCGTTCGGCTAGGTCATACCATCTTCAGGGTATGAAACACGTTTAGCCTTAGAAACGAGGACCGATTTATTGTGGTCCGGGTGATCGAACAAATTACTGGGGTTCGTCACACAAATTTTATTGATAGCAAAACATGATTCTTGTACAGCAGTAGGACAAAAACCCTTTTTTTTTTGTACATGATTCTTTACACATCGGGGACAGGACCTCTGGCATCAGATTTACTAGTAGTATTTCTTCAGATATGTCGTGTGCCAGGGATATTGAAGAGGAACACCGTCTAGCGTTTCAAGTCGGTAAGTACCATTAGAGATTAGACGATTTACTTTAAAGGGTCCTTCCCACTTTGGTTGTAACGGGCCGACATGAGCACCAGTGACTCTTTTCAGGACGAGGTCTCCTTTGACAAACGAACGTGGCTTGAGTCTCGAGTTTATGTATTTTTCGCTACGTCGTTTATAAGCAGCATTGCGAACTTCGGCGTCAGCACGTAATTCATCGAGCAGATCAAGACTGGTCTTCAAGTTTGCTGGGTTGGTTTCTTCGGAGAAGTGAGTGACCCGATATGTCGGAGAGGCAAGTTCAACCGGTATCACAGCTTCAGTTCCATAAGCTAACGAGAACGGAGTTTCTCCAGTTGAATTTCTTGTCGTCGTTCGATAAGACCAGAGGACATAAGGCAATTCATCGGGCCATGATCCTTTTGCAGCTTCAAGTCGAGTTTTCAGGCCATTCTTGATAATCTTGTTTACGGCCTCTATCTGTCCATTAGCTTGTGGGTGATAAGGTGACGAGAAGAAATGCTTACTGCCGTAATCTTCACAAAAACTTTCAAATCGTTTGCCTTCAAACTGACGACCGTTGTCGGTTATAATGGAGTTGGGGACCCCAAACCGACAAACGATTGATTTCCAAACAAAATCCACCATTTTTTGCTCAGTAATGGTGACAAGGGGCTCAGCTTCAACCCACTTGGTAAAGTAATCTGCAGCTAATATAGCAAACCGAACTCCTCCTTTTGCTGTCGGAAGCGGGCCGATCAAGTCAATTCCCCATTTTGCGAACGGCCATGGACTATATATTGATTTGAGGAGTTCAGGATGTTGGTTAACGTTGGGAGCAAATATCTGGCATTTGTGGCACCGTCGCACCCAATCCGCAGCATCTTTCCGAAGAGTAGGCCAGTAGTAGCCTTGCCGGAGAATTTTATGAGACAAAGTTTGAGCTCCTTGGTGGGTGCCGCAGACTCCTTCATGTACTTCTTGCAAAATTCGTTGAGCATCTTTCTCCGACAAACATTTGAGCAATGGGGTAGAATACCCGCGTTTATATAATGTCCCTTCATCGATGGTGTAATGAGCAGCACGAACACGGAGGGCACGAGCTTCTTTCAAGTCTTCAGGTAAGGCCCCGGTTCGAAGATAGTCGATGATCGGGTCCATCCATGTAGAATTTGGGGTTACTGAGGCGGCATCAACCATAACGACGTCGGTAGAGACTGTGGATGAGGTCACCTGTTGGGTAATTTGTATAAATTCAACATTATCCAAGTCGGTTGATGAGGCCAGCCGCGAAAGAGCATCTGCCTGGACGTTGGATGACCGAGGTATATGCTCCAGCGTCATTTTAAATCGTGCCAGCTTCTTTTTAACAAGATCAAAATAGGGCAACAGCCGTGGTTCCTTGACTTCGTAAGTGCCGTTGATATGACTGACTAGCAACTGGGAGTCGGAAAATAACCGAAGAGAGGAAACATTCATGGATTCGGCAAAGTGTAATCCTGATAAGAGGGCCTCGTACTCGGCTTCGTTATTGGTGGCCGAAAAAGTAAATGCCACAGAGTAACAAAACACTTGTTGATCGGGACTAACCAAAACAATCCCCCCCCCAGCTCGCATAGCGGTGGACGATCCGTCAATGTAGAGAGTCCACGTCGGATCTTCAATGGATGAATCGACAGTGGGAGTAAATTCAGCAATGAAATCGGACAGTACTTGGGCCTTGATAGCGGTTCGCGGTCGGTACTGTATATCGAACTGTCCCAACTCAATTGCCCACTTAATCATTCTTCCCGACGTGTCAGGTCGGTGAAGGACTTGTCGGAGAGGATATGTCGTGAACACAACAATTGAGTGCTCCAAAAAATATGGGCGCAACTTTCGTGCAGCAATGATCAGAGCATAGGCCAGCTTCTCCATATGCGGATATCGCAACTCAGCGTCATGCAAGGCCTTGCTAACATAATACACTGGAAACTGCTGAAGTCCGTCTTGACGTATAAGGACAGCACTAACAGCAACGCTACTTACACCAAGATACAAATAGAGAGGCTCATCGGGAAGTGGCTTTTGCAACGTTGGTAACTGCAAGAGAACTTGTTTAATGTTGTCAAAAGCATTCTGGCATTCCACGGTCCATTCAAACGGCTTCTTCTTTTTGATAGCGTCAAAGAATGGTTTACAATGATCTGTAGATTTCGAAATGAACCGATTAAGAGCTGCCAGTCGACCAGTTAAGGCTTGGACGCCTTTGAGAGATGTCGGGGGAGCTAGGTCAAGTATGGCTTGAATCTTGGCGGGATTGGCTTCGATCCCTCTTTGGCTCACCATGTATCCTAGAAACTTCCCTGATCCAACTCCGAAAGTACATTTTTTGGGGTTAAGTACCATGGAATATTCTCGGAGTATATCGAAGACTTCAGAGAGATGAGCAATATGGTCGGGGGCCTGTTCCGACTTCACCAACATGTCGTCTATATAAACTTCCATTGTATGGCCAATTAAACGAGCAAACATCTTATTGACCAATCTCTGATACGTGGCCCCTGCATTCTTCAATCCAAAAGTCATCATAACGTAGCAATAAAGGCCTCGAGCTGAATAGAATGAGGTATGTTCAGCATCATCAGGGTGCATGGGAATCTGATTGTAGCCTGAATAGGCATCCAAAAAAACTCATAAGTTGGTGTCCCGACGTAGCGTCTACCATATAATCGATGTGTGGAATGGGATAGCTATCTTTCGGGCACGCTTGATTCAAGTCAGAGAAATCTATACAAAGACGCCAAAGGCCGGTTGCTTTCTTAACTAGAACAGGGTTCGATATCCACGTCGGGTACTTGGCTTCTTTAACAAATTTATTATCGATGAGCTTATTTACTTCCTCTTCAAGAGCCTTCTGGCGATATGGACCAAATTTCCGACGTTTCTAAATAACCGGTTTGACAGTCTTGTCCAAATTGAGACGATGGCATGCCTTCTGTGGGTCGATCCCTTTCATGTCTTCATGCTTCCATGCGAATACATCAGTGTTTGACTGGAGGAACTGAATCAAACTTGACCGAAGGGGTTCCTGCAGGTTGGCCCCAATACGCAACGACTTCTGTTGTTCTAACCCGTCCACGTAAATGATCTCAATATCTTCAACAGGTTCCGCTCGGATATGATGACTTCCATCCTTGAACTGCATCCTTGGGTCTATATCCTCATGTATTTCTATGTCTTTTTCATGGGAAAATTGTTCTTGACCAAGGATTTCTGTTGATATTTCAGACAAGACCGACGTCATGGGGATGTCGGTATTGGCAGACGGCAAGTTGATTTCTACTTGAGGCATGTCGGTATCCGAGGTGAACTGATCAACTTGTTCAATACGAGGAATTGGATCACTTGGCTCAACAAAGCTATTAACATCTCCTTCAATCATATGAAAGTTAGGCGAGGTTGAAAGCAGCATCAGACTTCGGGCTTCTCGTTGATCTCCGTAATGAGTGCCTTCTCCTTCAATGGTGGGAAACTTCAGAGCATAATGAAAAATCGAGACAGCAGCACGGAGTTTATAAAGTGCGGTTCGCCCAATTACAGCATTATATTCATTTTGAACATCCAAAACTTTAAAGGTTTCCATAATAATCTTGGACTTCGGTCCAAAGCCTCCAAATCGAATAGGGAGCAATATTTCGCCAATAGGGCAAGAAATGCTTCCATTGAAACCTTGAATCTGATCGTTACACGGCCTAATGTCTGCTGGGTCCAAACCCAATTTGTTGAACGTACGGAGCATTAAGATACTTGAATACGCTCCTGTATCGACCAGGATTCGATGAACAGGAATTCCCCCAATTGGGGCAGTTATAATGAGAGCATCAGAATGAGGATGAGCGAACAAGTTAGCGTCTTCAATACTGAATGTAATGGGGCAATTCCGTTTATTGATGGTATCTCGAAGATCGACATTCATGACTCGGTTCTCGGCATTCTGAGCCTCCCGAGCATAAGCTTTAACTTTCCGTCGAGACATATCTGACTGTTTGTTATTGGAGTTGACCCGAGGTATACAACGTGAAAAATCTGCAGGATCATGTGTCTTAAGTTTCCTGTGGTTGTCGGTCGACGTTCCGACATGAGTAGAAAACGTAAAAACTTCCTTATCATTTACACGAGCTCTCTTCTGGTTAGCAGGTCGGTTATCTTCATCTTCATCGTCTGAAAGATCCAAAGGTCTTCCTTTCCGGCGATTATCAAAATTTCGAAACTTTTGAAGTTGGGGTTGCCCGATTAAACGTAAGAGTGCCGATAAAAGACCGAGACACTCGTCGGTATTGTGCCCTGGAGATTTGTGGTACGCACAGTAGCGAGTTTTGTCCAACTTATCTTCAGGAGTTCTCACAGGCCTCGGGTCTGGAATGATCCCCTTTCCTTTCAGCTCTTCATATATGGTGGCCGCTCCAGCAGAATAAACAGCGTGGTAACCTGTCCTGACGTTGTCTGAATATTGATCACGAGCAGCCCGGGACTCTGGAGTATTTTCATACCCTTTAGAGGAGTTCCGAAATTGGGATTTCCCAAAGTTCTTCTTGTTTTTCTTTTTAGTATCCGGTTCAACCTTGCTTTCTTTTACCGAAAAGTCGAAACTGGGGACCGACATGGATTCTTCGGCAATGATGAATTGTTGAGCTCGTACAAGAAACTCTTGAAATGTTGCAGGCTTATTTTGACATAAGGTCCAACGAAACATTGAATTGGGCCTCAATCCGGCAATAGCAGTTACTAACAAAGTTTCAGGATGACATGGTTCCATATTCTGAATCCGGTCGTTAAACCGGGCCACATAATCTTTAACAGTCTCATCGTCTTTTTGTACGATGTTAGTAATCGATTCTTTCGGAATGAGACAAATTTGAGCACCGATAAAGTGTGACCGGAAAGCCGCACGTAGTTGCTGCCATTTCCAAATTGAATGAGGTGGGAGAGTGTAATACCATTTCTGGGCTCGTGGCCCCAGTGTAAGTGAGAACATCCGACACCTCAGAGCATCTGAAGCTCCATGTAAATCCATCCAAGATGTGTAATGACCTAAATGAGCGTCTGGATCCGACGTCCCATCATACATGCCGATTTGTGGAATTTTTACTTTGACAGGGAGTGGCTCCGCAGTAAGTTCGGGGGCTAAAAAAGAATCCGCCTCAACGACAACATTTCCCGACGTCGCGACATGTCGGGGTGAATCTTCTTGTGACTTCTGTCGCATTTCAAGTTCGGCCAAACGTTTACGGAGGGTTTCAATTTCCTCCGCACTATGTCTTGAAAGACGATTGCGTTCAATTTGGCGTCGTAAATCTTCGCGAGCGTGAGGTGCTGATGAGATGGGTCTAGGACGTGGGGAAACTCTCTGGCGATGAGCAGAATGACTTTCAGCAGTTATCTCCTGCACAGGGGGTTGATCTTGGGCTTGATTGTTCGTTACGGGATCAACGATTATATGAGCCCGTTCTTCTTGTCGTGGAGAAGTGTGATGGGGTTGCGACGTGGCATGTGACGTCGCAACATGTGTCTCGTGATCATGATGAATATGAGTGGGATGCTCTGTTGGGTTAGTAGTTAACGGCATCGTGCTCGAGTTTCTAGGCATGGCTCGAGCTATTAATGAAGACAAACCTTGTATGAACTCCGGATTTTGAAGGAAGTTCATAATATTCGCGGCCGGAGGTGGTGGCGTTGTACGCCGCGGGGAATGATTAGTTGACTGGCTCTGGCCAGGGTGAGTAGCATGGTCTCGACCAGATTGTGACATAATGATTCTGAGCGTGGAAATGGCTTTAAAAGTGACAAATAAATACAACACAGGGCGAAGGGCCGCCCTTCCTCTAGCGCCAAACTGTTGTCAAATGGAAATTAACAACAACCAAATTGGAGTGTATTTGAAGTAAAGCTGAGTGTTCAACGATAAAAGCTTGTATATTATAACTGGAAATGTAATTTCTCTGTAA